AATGACTTGTTCGGTTTTTCACATTTGTCTTTTCAGTGAAAGGTATGATTTCTGTGATTTTGATATTGGTTGTAGCAATTTATCAACAAATTTTGTCAAGCACAGAACAAGGTTAGGCCATCCTCTTTTTTTTTCACTGTTTACCGTCGTCCGACCGACCCAAATTTTTGGCATTTAAAAAAAAAAGTAACGATGTAGTTACACCATTTTTCATTTGAAATAATTCTTTTGATATGAAAAATGAGCATAGTAACAGCACAGAGAAAAACAAGAACAAAAACATGAACATTTTTCACAGTATATTGTACATTTTGTTCATCAAAATATGTGAATGTTAACTTTTAACGTTGTCCTGGGGTACCAGAGCCTACTATTCCGAGACTTCTTGTGATTTTTTTTTAAGTTTTTTTTTTTTTTAATCCGACTGACCGACCCAATATCAGGAAACACATTCGACGGTAAACGAAGAGAAAAAAGGGGATGGCCGTAGAGGAAACCAAACATCCATGTTTTAACCAGGGGGTGGGTCATGCAATTTCCAACCTTGCTTTAGGGGTGGGTCAGTCATTTTTGTGCCGAAGGGAGGGGGTAGGTCATGTGTTTTTTTTCAACCACATTTCCAAATGCTCCGGCCCACCCCCGCCCCCCCACCCCCCCCTATACTTTTTGACCAGTCCCTAAAGGGGTTCCACTGTTACGAAATGACTCAGTGATTCTTACGTTTGGGTCGAAAGAATAATGTTCGTGTAAACAAGGTGGTCGTATAGTGCTTGCTACTGTGCTGCAACCGATTATATTAAATTATTTTATAATTTTATAAAGTTGTGTATATGTTCAATGTAATATGCGTAATAAAAGAAGATCGGTTTTGGTTCAGCAAGGATAAAATACTTGAGAGATCTAGGATTAATGAGCACAAAATACCCCACACAATACCCTTTTGGTTGTGTTCTGATCTTACATGTATACAAGCCAAAAATAACTGACTTCCTTATTTTGAGGTGCTTTGCCCCTATTATCCTGTTAACCAACCAAAGAGAGGTTCTGTAAGTCAGGGTGAATGCTTTTTTCATTTGAGATGTTCATGCCTAGATGAATAAAGGCTTCATCATATGTTTGTGGAGATGCTAACAACGTTGCAGGAGTTTTTTTGACCAGATACACGGTTGGTCTGGCCTGCATGCCGAAACTAGCTGCTAACAACGCTATGTGCCACAGTCACTATGATTTCGTTCTAGCAGCTAAGGCCATCCTCTTTTTTTTCTCCTTTTAGCGTCGTCCGACCGACCCAAATTTTTGGCACTTAAAAAAAAACAAGTAACGACGTAGTTTAACCATTTTACACTTGAAATAATTCTTTTAATCTGAAAAATGAGCATAGTAACAGCAAAGAGAACAAAAGGAACAAAAACATGAACACTTTGTACAGTATATAATTGTGCCTTTTATTAATCCAAATATGTGAATGTTAACTTTAACGTGGTCCTGGGGTACCAGGGCCTACTATTCCGAGACTTATTGTGATTTTTTTTTTTTTTTTTTTCCAATCCGACCGACTTTCTTTTACTGTTTCCTGGTTAAAAAGCATTTTATTGCATTAGTTAGGAAGCAAATGTGCAATTTTTTTCTTTCCAATTTTATACTGTGAACTTAAATTGACAGTTTTTGTAAATGACGTTTTCTTCCCACATTAATTAAAATAAAATAAGTATGTTTTATTGCCGTGTCATTTCAATGTTCATTTTTATTTTAAAAAATTGAAATTTTATTCATATTTTGATTGTCAGTCATAATTTTGTAAGGTGTTATGAAGCTTTTCTTCTTTTCGCGGACAGTAACAGAATGACGGCGCGTGAGTGAAATGTCTGAAAATGGTTTACATAAAAGATTTTTCGATCATTTTACCGTCAGACACGTCACTTTGCCAGAATGACTTCGCCTTTTTGGAATACGTTGTATATGGTTGTTACGTTTATAATTTGTACTTGAAATATAGCGCACATTTATCCGTATAAATACACAGCACGCAAAGGGCAGTTTGTGTAGCCGGACTGCAAAATTATGATTCTTCGTAGGGGAAAATGTTAAATACGTTATCAACCTTCCTGGGTCTTTTCGCCAGAAGAAACAAAAAGTATTAACTGAGTATCAGATATTGTGATGTAGTTTACATGTAACGGTTCGCCGGGCCGAGTTTGCAAAGAAAACATACTCTAAACACAAAATCGGCCAAATGTACCATACGGGTAGATTGACCTATATTAAGAAATAAACTGTGAACTGGACGCAGCCAAATAGTTTCGTGAATAACAACCAGCCTTTATAAAACAATTTAATGTTTTATAAAGACTAAATATCTCATGGGGAATTAGCTTCTTAAAGGGGTTGGGGGAGGTGGGGTTCAGTGATTCAACAACAACAATTAGCTAACAATTTATTAGGTATTGCCATTTACATACATGGCATTACCTACTCTCTAAAAAGTAATTGATTAATTAACTAATTGGTTAATTCACTTTTGAAATTACATGATAGTGTCTACGATTCATAATCTCAAAAATAAAAACAGCAACTGGTTTACAAATAAATGGATCAATATTGTTAAATGGGAACAAATTTTTGATTTTACATCTAAGTCTTTAAAAAGTTAATATTTGTTAATGGTTTCGTCAAAAAAATTGTTGCGAAGCGTATCATTTAGAGTGCAAGAAAACACATATAACGTGACATTCATTTTCAACTTCATTAGCTTGACATATGGAACAAATTCTTAAGTCTTCGGGAGTCTTTAGTGAAGTATATCTCCCTGTTTCGATACGAAGTCGATGATTTCCTAGACGAAATTCATTAATAGCAGATCTATGGAGATGATTTTTTATTGCATCTCAGTAGAAATTCGGTTCTGTTGGTATCTGTTTTAAAAGTATTGTAAAAATTAAATTTCCTGTTCGAGACAAGAATTAAGAGTTGGTGGTTGATTAAAGCCTTGGACAAATTTTGAGCGACACTGGAGATGTGAGTTTTCACTTAACGTTGTTTTCATTTAAAATCATGCATGGAGCGTGAACTTTATTTATCACATAATATCTTAATCTATTGTGATATGCCTGTCTGATTTTTCTCAGCCATATCCTTTGTAAATCAAAAGTATTAGGGAGGACGCGCTTATTTAGTAAGAGTACATTACAAGAAGATAAATGGTAAATTCAAAATAATAACTGACTGTACAATAAAGCGTAGCGGCCATTGTCCACTACATTAATTACCACTTATCAACCACCAATAAAGCGCTAGATGAATAAAGCGGTCCTAATGCACTTCCAAGAGGTTTGTACTTAATCAAAGAAGTCCAAAAACAGACAATGAGACAGTGTTTCAGGTGGTCATACTAAGCAATATTCTTTGCTTCAAAATCGATCGTGTCTTCAAATTTGATTAACTCAGTGGTGAGTGAAATTTTTACTTTTCTCGCTTTACTAGGCGCTGAAAAAATACAATTGTTAGCATCAGTGTAAAAGGTAGAGGTCAAAGCCTTTTGGCAGTGAACGTTAGATTTAAGTTAATATATATTTTTTTAAAGTTAGATAACAGTGTTGGTGGATCTCATGATTATCGAAGAAAATCAAATTTGTGAACAGAAATTTAAAAAGTCAGTGACTGTTAGCTAAGCTCGCTTATCTATAACTCATCGAATTGAAAAGGCCTTTCTTTTGAGCTTCTTTTTCAAACAAAGCGATAGGAAATGTTATGTCTTTATCTGGCCGGTAATATTACGCTTCCAACATTTAGGCTGCGGCCCTTCCAGTAGTTGCACGATACTTCCCTGTGTTTTTATTTGTTTGTTTTCCAACCGAAATTGAAAGTTTAAAGTTTAGTTTCGGGATGGGCTGTGACGCATAAAAAAGGCCCCTCAGAAAATCTCTAATTTCTGAGCTTATCATTTTGCGGTAAACAGCTATATATTTCATTTAGAAAACACACACATTTTCGGTGGACCTTCAAGAGCCGATCGAGATCAATTTTTAACAATAAGTAGCATTCATGCTTTTCATAGGATCGCAAACGTAACGATCTTTTTATTATTCACAGAACCTAAATTCTTTTGAAAGCGAAACTCCATTAATAAAACGCTGAACAATTTTACAAACTCATTGCCTAAGTAGCGGCTACTAATTTTTTATCACGAAATTAGCCTCGTTCTGTCGTTCAAATTCTGAACAGCTGGGTGTCTGTTATGTTCGTTCCGCGTGAACGGAATAACTATTTGGTCGACATTTCGTCTACTGAGTGCTGCGTGAACATAACATTTGCATAGGTCTGCATACATTTCAAGCATGCAGCTAGCAGGCAAGTTTTGTGGACTTCCAATTCTAGGCCAACTGTCATTTGACACTTTTGACGAAAGACACACTCAACTCAACAATCCAAAACATAGCACGTTTAAAATAATGAGCGATCCAATATTGTCAACAGTCATCAAGCTCTTTTTCGCTTCAAACACAGCTCAAACGAATGAAAAAGAGAAATCTAAAAAAGAAATAAGCCTGCTTTTTTTCTTTTGTCTGGTTATAAAGAGAGCTCCTATTTCTCAGATAAACACACTACAGATACATTTTGAAAATTAATTTTTTGCATTAATTGCTTTTTATCGATCTTTTTTAAAAAACGGGCTGTCTAATCCACAGAAGACAAATGGCTGCCATTTGCGGAATAGAACCCTGGATTGGAATACACAGGAACGACACAGCCGCCTACCTCAATGATATGATACTCGTAACTGTCAACGGATGTCTTGCCATATTTTCATTTCTTAGCAACCTGGTCATCATTGTCACAGTAATCAAGACGCCTTCCTTACAGAAGCCGTGCAACATTTTACTGAGTAACCTGGCCTTTGCAGATTGCCTCACGGGAGTCATCGTCCAGACCATGTTTATTGTGTGCGACTTTTTCTTCGAAGAGCCCAGCAGTCATGTCTACATCAAGTTCTGGTGTTTGATATGTATTACACTTTACAAGTGCTCACGGTTGGTTTATCATTTGTCGACGTTATAATTATCAGTTTTGATCGCCACTATGCCCTGGACAGACCTCTGGTGTATATAACTCGCGCCACTAAAAAAGGTGGGTCTTTTACTTGAGCATTTGTATGTGTAATCAAATGGTGACGAAACGCAAGTGAAATTATTCCCTAATTTCACAAGTATACCATGTGATTACCTATAAATATCATGGGTGACGAATTACCTTAGCAATCGAGGATTTTTGACTGGTTTATCCTGGATCGTATCGATCGATCGTGAACTCCACTCTCTCAAACGTTTGGAGCTGAAATTTGGCTTAAGTTTTCAGAATTTTTCGACAACATACCTCTAAGAATCCTTCTTGATGTTCTCTTTCGTGTGTTCAGGTTTTCTAAAGCGTCTTTTTATACCCTGACATCTTCATTCATGACATTTTAAAACTTCGTCGCCATCTTGAAACGGAGACGTACGGCAGGTTGCCGGGACAATTTAGTAATTTCACATGTAAAATTACAAATTAACGCTGAAATTTCGCGCCAAAATTAAGGAGTAATTCGTCACCTATGATATTAGATAAATAAAGTCACTTAGAAGAAAAGATATATGGACAATTTCACTGTAAGGAACTATAGTTACCGAGGGTATTAGAGAGTTCTACCTGGTCCAGGATTAAGGCATTTAATCAAAGAGCTGGAATGTTCTGCCCAAGATCGCGCGCTCTCATTGGTTACTTGGTTGTAGACTGTTTCCCGCCAATAGTGTCTGAGTGGGTACCATTGCAAAATGTATGAAATCAGTGACCGCTTGCTGATGTTTGCTTTCAAACATTTGTTCACGTAGGTTTTTCTTTGTGTGCTATATTTCACCCAGGGAAACAAGTCAATAATGTTTCTCTTAAATCTCAATGTTTACCTCGGCTCATCCGTGTAAGTCAAAACAATAGATATTTTTTTCATTTTATAAAGTCTGTGAAGGGTTTCATATACGATTCAAGAGACAATTTATTGCCTTAAAGGGACTGGTTCACGATAATGCGCATGTGTGAGTTCTGACAGTAGCTGATTGTTTTTCAACCAATTGGAAGCGAGTTAGATGCACGCAAGTAAATTTACAAAATTCAAATTAATTGTTCGCGACGCGAGAGTATTTCCGGGCATTTGGTTTGATTTTATTTATCCCCATAATTCAGTTTTTATTCTTTGCTACTCCTCAGATATATGCTGCAGCCGGTAAGAATAAGATTTACAGCCCTGTCCTGCTTTGAAACAAACATTTACCAACGTGTATTTTTACGAGGTTGTACCCACGCTAACAAAACAGTCACCGATCAGCAAACAAAATTTGTAAACAAACATCTTATTACTGTTCTCTCAGTTCGCCTTATATAAACCCAGAAATACCTACAAATAGCGCCGGACCGGTGACAAAAACACACAACGTATGAGTATAAAGATTATCCTTAACTGAGCATAAATTTCAATTGCTTATCAGCAAATGAACAAATTCATTCGCGTTGCATCGGGTCAGTGTTCCGCAAAACAAATGTTATCGAGTAGCACACATAAAGAAACTAGATTATGAACAGAATATTCAGGCAATAATTTATTTTAAAAACATCAATTCTTAAACATATACGATCGTAAAGCAAAGATACAAGGAACATTTCAAGTGTACCAGATCGGTGAAGATCGCGCGGCCTGTTGCGGTATAACTACAGGTCGGAGTCAAAAATCAAAGCAAAGTTGAACGAACTCATGCCTTTAACCACTTTCCAAGTGTCGTGTATTCTTTTCGTATGCCACACACTACTCCTAGAAGCATACCAGATCGATAGGCTAAGCTTCTCTATCTCCAGAGACTCTTGAGAACGTCCTGTTGCCGGACGGCCACGATGCTCTTCTCAACCTCCATGATCAAAACATTATTTTTTGCGTCTTCTTAAAACGTAACCAGTCAAACGACACAACCACACGTTAATCACCACTACCGAAGTATAACTAGACCAGCCAAAGCGACGGATGTTCGAATAAAACGAAGGATTTTCAATGATTGTACCGGTAATGGCGATTTCGAATTTAGTGTTGACCCAACAAATTTATTCTGAAGAGACAAACGGCGCGCATGCGCATTATCGTGAACCAGTCCCTTTAAAAGCACTTCTTGCAGTACCGGTGTTAAGTTTAGGAAAAGTTCGTCTCCGGGACAAACGTGGATCTTCAAATGCAATGAACTAAACTAATAAATCAAAACTTTGTACAAATGAATGATAAATATTTAGCCTCGTTCGGGTGAAAGTTCGACGTCCAATAGAAGATCTTAGCTTAATTTTGTTCGACCCAGATCTGAATTTCGTTCATCTTATGAAAAGTTCGACCTTTGGCCTCAAGGCCTTGGATACCTTTACTCAGGTATATTAAGGCCTGGGTCTGCCACTTTTTTGCGGGTAGAAGGGGGTATTCTATCTTTGAAAGAAAAGGTATTGTAGATTTGCAGACTTATTCATTCCATTATCTTTGTTAACATAGTATAATTGAGATTGACATCACCATGGTACCGTGTTGCGTGGCCAAGTAACGCTTCACTTCCGTATTTTTTCTTTGAGGATTCTGTAGGCAGGGTAAAAATACTATTATTGAGAATTTTTTGTGGTGTTGTTTTTACCTATCTGAAGTACTTTCCAAATTTAACTGGAATGGTGGTATGCCTACCCTTGATGAATGTTTTTCGGTTGTCACTTAACAGAAAAAATCGTTGAGATTTTACTGACCACGTGACCTGGACACGCCTTTCAGTTAGTTTCGTGTACATCCAGTAATATGTATAACACTTTCCACGCATTATTTTTTTAACATAAGTGTGAATACGTTCTCCTGCAGCTGGCCTGAAGATAAATATGGTAATTGATTATCTAAATGAGTCACATGACCCCTATTGTGACAACTTTCGATCAGACTTAACCTTTACAACATGCTTAAGCTTCCTATCAATATGTTGCATATTTACAGAGATAGACCACCCCCTTCATTTTTTTCATGTAATTTACGTGCCTTAATTGACCCAGTCCTTAATATACCCTTTCCATATTAGGTCTGTAAGCACCGCAAGGACGGCATCGAGATCGTCACAAAACAGTTGGTTTACGAGCAAAAGAACGGCTCGGCAAGCGCATGCTGGTACATTTCTTGAACGTTGATTGGCCGACTACGACGTGAACCTTCCTAATGCGAAGTAAGATCGAGAACGTGAAAGAAAAATTCCCTTTTAGTAAAATCACTTGTGTATTGTCATCAGTCTACATGCGGCTGCCTTTAAACTGACCTTATTTTATTCGATCCTGTTTTGCAGGAGCATTTAAAGTTGCCATCTTCACAAACATTATCCGGCTGCTGTTAACAATCCTACTTCTATTTGCTTTGCCTCCCGTAAAAGGCTTCATGTTGGTGACTACTTTTGGCGTGCTGTTTCTCGTTGTTCCGCCTGTTAATTACATTCGAGCACTGCTCGCTATTCGTCGTCATAACGCTCAATTGGGTGATGCAGTTACGCTCCAGATGTCAGTAGTATTGCAGCGCGAGAAAAGAGTTGCACTCGATACGTGCATTGTTGCCGGCTTGCTGTTCGCCTCTCTGCCACCAGCTTTTGGCATGTCGATTGTTCAAAAGAGATATCCTCGGCTACACTCCGTTTTGCTTCCATGGAGTTTGACAATGACGTTTATACCGTCCTGTGCGAATTTAGTTTTTTACTTTGTACGTTTTAAGAACATGAGAAATGCCTTTAAATCTATTATCAACATATAATGGAGCGGCTTTCACAGTCACCCATAGGTAGGCAAATGTTTTACATTCTCAACACATTTATTACAGCTCCAACATGGCCGCTCCACGTGAAGGCTAACTACATTGATAGCATAATGTGCACGTGTGTCTAAGATCATAGAAATCTTTTAAGAGCTGACAGTAATTAAAATCAATGTTTAATGTTCATCAGCTGAGACAGATTAAAAAAAAAGCTGTAACATGCCTTGGCCATAAGACGTAACTGTAACGAAGAACAATAGCGTTTAAATGTTCAGTTACACCTAACTTTACTCTGTAAGGGGAGGTACGTTTTTTCTTGGCGGGAGTGGGCTGGGGAATTTCCGTACTTTTTTACAAAAAAAGTGTTGGCCCTCTCTTTGAATATGTTTGAATATGAATATATCTCGATATTGAATGTGTGGGCGCTGAAACAAGAAAATATAGACTTTGCGTTCCTTCAGTCTTTACAGCGATTATTCCTACCCTATTCCTTACTTTGTCAAATGTAGGCGAACCCTCCTGAAGCTGAATTTCAAGGGACCATGGCCAAGCTCAGAAAGAGAAATAAAATTTCGTCGTTGCTTGTTTACGTCCTCCATAAAACGCAAAATTAGTCATTCAGTTTCACGTCGTAGTCGTGCGAAAACAGGAAAGAAATGTACAAAAAAGCATGATACACGTGCAAAGTTGTTGTCCAATTGTTTTTTTGACGTTCTCGTTGCCGTCCGCGTAGTTGGATCTTAAATTTCCTAATGCGAACAATCAGTGTGGGATATTTACGTTTTATGGCTGAACTTTGAATATGGGAGAATAAAGTTTGAGGATTTTAAAAGTTTTCAAAATGAAATATAGAAGGGAAAAAACACGCGCTTCTTTCTCCGACAAGCCGGTATTGCCTTTGGTTGTTTTGATTAAAAGGTTTGTTTGATTTTTAATAGCATGCGAAATCTGGCTCTCAAAAACAAATATTTCCTACATTTTCGAATTCTGTTAAAGGCAGGCAGGCTTCTGTAGGAAAGGGAAACTTCTCACACATTATTGAAGCATCATTGAAGCGTGCGCAAAGAAAGCAACAGGAATACAATGACATTGACTGGAAGATCTCTATCACAGAAACCAGTTGTCATCCCTTAGAGTAGGTGAACTTGAACTTTACATTAATCACCACAATATTTGCATTTAAAAGAAAGAAATGTGAGAAAGTGAGAGTGGTGAAGGCACATATTGGTGGTAAGATTATGACTTTTATTGTGCAGGACAGAAAGAAAAACATTCAGCCAGGTGCCTCTGACTCAAATTCAGAGTCTGCCACTGACAGTTACAGGGTAAAGCAGTAGTCTACTAGGGTCAAAGATAAGCCTCGTTGGTGGATTCCCTTTGGATTCCCTCGGAAAAAGTGGATTCCCTTAATTAATAGGCATATGGGTCTAGTCTATGACGTCACCGATTGTTATAACCTGGGAAAAAAGTGTATTCCCTTTATTAATATGTGTAATTGTCTTCCTGCATACTAATTTGGATTTCCTGCATACTAATTCGGTATAGGTTTACTAATAAGCGTCACTCTACAACAATAGGAACAATAGGCTTGCCTAGACTTGCCCGTCAAGTAAATTGAGCCCGGTTTTCGGACCTTCTATTAAAAGGAAAATAAGAGAAGCGATCACCTAGCAACGCGAGAAACGGCTTCCTATATCTTATTTAGCGCTAAAACTCAGATATACATGAACAAACCACATACAGAAAGTGGACTTGAAAAGTCTTTATTTCAATTTATTTAGTTTACGTCTTCTTTTTTGGCGCTAAAACTCGGATATATATAAACAAAACATACAAAAATTGGAGCTGAAAACTCTCTAAGTTTGTCTGACGTTTTCTCCCATCAATCTTAACAAGGATCAATTAAAACACGCGACTCATAATTGCTAGCAATAAAAACACAAGAGAGACACCGTTTTAAACAACTTTATTAAAAACAAAAAGAGTCAAATACACAGGAATGGAAATTAATTAATCTTCATCTTCGTTCATGGAGTACTTGTAAGGTTTGAATTTCTTATGCCGACGTTTCTTCAGCTGTTTGCCATGAGATTTATGATCATCCAAATAATTTAGAAATTGAATCCGATGCCTTTTGCGCTTCGGGCCATGTTGTGATGGGGTTTCTACTGTGGGAGGAGGGGTCAGGAAAGCAGGATTTAAGGGTGGTGGAGGGGTGAGGCTTTCTTTGTCAGGTTTTTGAGAGATAGCCGCTTCTGTTAATTCAGGTGTTACATTAAAGGGATTGGAGGGAGTCGAATGCTGTCGTTGCTGTCGAAGAATCTTGTGTCCTTGATGTTAAGTCTGAAACAGTGCTGATTATTTCTTCCGGTCGTGTTCTTGTATTTAATTGTTCTTTAAAAGCCAGGTATCTGTTTTGCAACTGAAGGTATCGTTTAGCTTTTTTATCGTCCCGAAGATCGTTTCGAGAAAGCGCGTCATCCATGTTGCCTTGTATTTCTTGCATAACTGGAAGAAGCGGGACAGGCGAAAGAGTTTGCTGCTTCAGATATTTTAGAAGCTGTTGAGGAATATTTTCTTGAAACCCTGCTTGGTTAAAGCCTTCTTCACTGGGCAGGACGTTTGTTCGCAACCGACAATTATCTTGCGTAGTAGTTTTCAGATCAATCAGAAGATAACCAAAAGGTCTTTTTACAGCCTCTTCGTACTGATTAAAAAGAAATCAGTCTTCCAGGGATACATTTGCTTCGCCAGAGTCAGGATTTGCAATTTGTCTCGTGGATTCTTGAATAACACCAGATAATGGCTGTTTAGGCTTATGCTGCGGCTACCTTTCCCCTGATGAAATAGATTATGCACGATATAAATCACGCTCAGATTGCGATGATGAGAACCACGAGTAAAGAGGTTCACAATTCGCTTGTCTTTACTGGTGTCAATCATCTGATCATCAAACACGATCAAATTCCGTTTGTTCACATCAAAATAGGAATCCTGCTCCAAAGCCGTAGGAATTCCCTTGACGAATTCAATGTTTGGCATGGCGACTAACATTTGTGTATACGCAGGCTGCCATTGTGAATAACACCAAACGATCCTCTCCGGGGGAGGGTAAATTGTCTCTGAAGCTTGTTGCAATAGCGATCGAACCCAGGCCGTTTTTCCGGACCCGGTCATTCCGGCAATCATGGAGGTGAAAGGATGCTCGAAGCGAAACCGCTGACATTTCTGTGAAAATATTGGAACTGTTTGAAATGGGGTGAGACCAGCATTGCGGTGTTTAGACATCACGTGCCTTTGCATACTATCTTTTCTACTAAAGGATTTTTCGCAGACAGAACAGAACCAACTCATGTCAACTCCTCAGGAGCAAAATGCAGACTGAGAAAGAGGTAGAATGTTGCGCATTTATATAGGTTTTCAGGCCACAAGATTCTACTGTTTTCCTCCCCCAAGACCACCACTACCACCACCACCACATTTTTATTGTTTTCCCTCCACCACCACATTTCTATTGTTTTCCCTCCACCACCACCACCACCACCACATTTCTATTGTTTTCCCTCCACCACCACCACTACCACAACTACCACCACATTTCTATTGTTTTCCCTCCACCAGATTCCATAAAAGACTACCAACTGCCATTCTTAGTTCATTTTGTAGCAATGTCTCGTGTAGTGAACAACAATCGTGGTTTTCTTCAGCTGTTGGCTGCTTGCCCCGCTTATTAGCGCCAGTTTCTTTTAAAGACAGCTACACCACAGCAACTTCATGCACTAGTCCAAGTCTTATACAATTTACTCATGGGACACATTCCTGTCTCCGAAGAAAATAAGCGGGTATTGCTGCCATATAAGGATGCTTTACTTAACCTGGCCAGTCCAAATGTCCCTTTCAAAACAAAGAAGCGAGTCCTTGTTCAAGAGGGCAGTGGTTTTATTGAAGATGTATTAGCCCCTGTTGTTTCAAGCTTAGGATTTCTACTGCTATAAAAGAGGTGACACATCGCTAGGTTGATCATTCGAAGCTAAGTCTGTCACGGGTACTCATCAAAAATGAAGAGAAAGATAGATTTGGTTGAAGAAGAAGAACCAAGAGTGAACATGAAGAAAGCGAAAGTTCTGGTGATGAAAGCGAGGATGAAGAACCAAGAATAAAAGATGTTTTGAGTCATCTTTCCCGAGCAGTGCCGGAAAAGCGTGCTTCTGATTTGATGCATAGTATGGCTGCGTCCAAAGATATTCTTTTCTGGACCCCCAGCGGACAATTACTTCGAAATAAACGCACTATTCCCGTCACAAACATCGCTGAGCTAGTTGAGTATGTGTTACTCCCTCATAACAATGAGGTTACCAAGCCTCGTGCGCTGAATACGTTTCTAGATGGACTTGCGGAGTTAGGAATCGATAAAGGTTTAATCAAGAACAAAAAGTTGTTAAGTGATTTAATAGAAAAGGAAAAAGGCTACCAAAATGTAGAAAATACTTCCGATAACGAGAGTAATAATGAGGAGAGTTCATCGGATATTGAAAATCAGGAGGAGGAGGAGGAAGTGGCTTCTGAGAATGGCGTTGAAGAGGAAGACACCCAACAAAGCGACAACGACACTGAAAACGACAGTCAGGAGATAGAAAGTAGTAACCCTGAAACTTCCACCACCTTTCACTCCAAAAGTCCCTGTGAACACTGCGAAAACTCTAATGTGTACGGGACATTGATCATGAAATGTCCTAAATGCCTTTGGCACATTACTACAAGATTTGTCCTATATGCGATCACCAGATTCCGAGGGGAGACATAACATGAAAGAGGGCTTTCTTCGATGTCACGATTGCAGAGCAGTTACACACAAAAACGCGAAGACGTTGGAAACCAATTTCTATTCCCCTTCTACAGCGGAGAACGAAGATGAAGATTAATTAATTTCCATTCCTGTGTATTTGACTCTTTTTGTTTTTAATGAAGTTGTTTAAAACGGTATCTCTCTTGTGTTTTTA